GACTAGATCAAGTCTCTGCCCGGGCTGCAAAAAAGCGTTCCATTCCTTCGGGCCCCCGGGGAAGCATTGCGAAGGCCTCAAGCCCGACTCTGACGAAGATCTGTCCTTGGATCATGGCAGCTCACCCAACGGACAAATCTTACAAGCGATTAGGGCATTGTCCGAGCAGGTAGGAGGGCTAAAGATGGAACAGGACGACATGCGGTCTCGCATCAACGACAGAGAAGGGGGTTGTGCCCCAAACAACCATAAGACTAAACGATCGGAAGGTAAATCCGATAGTATACACGCATATGTACGATTTATACACCTTACTACCCAAAACACAAGGGAAAACGACCATGGACACCGAAAATAAACGGACCGCAACGATTGAATCCTTCGATCATTGGTTGGAGGCGTGGACGATCTACGAGGGACAACTAATGTCAAGCGATCACACGCGGTACAACGAGATGGCACGATATCGCTCCATAATACAAAAGGCAAATCGTAAATTCCGCTGGTCTTCAGTGTATGAGTACGATATCCAGTTCAGGAAGAGCTTGGACAGCATTGCCTCATCAGGACGACTGGACATTGTCGACACAACGTTATACTCAACAATTTTGGATTCTTCGAGTGTCAGAAATTAAATTGAATTGAGCATTATTTGTTGATTAGAAGCTGAAAACATACTTTTTCTCAGACCACTCGAATAATGTCGAAAATAAGGGCCTGATCGCCGGGAAAACCGAAATGCCTCCTTCTCGCCAAAAATATTTAGCCAATCAAACTTAAACCCTCGACTTATAATCAGGCAGAGTTTGAGCGATTTTGATTTTTGGGACTTTACCATCTTTAGGCGATATTTACGGACAACCTCTCTTAAGTCAATACTGAAAAATTTCTATAACGCAATCTATTATATTAAAGCTTCAGTGAACTGTGATATCATATGTACTTTCCTTTCTAGAGGTGACTTTGCTATAGTATCTAATGGTGAAATGATTATGTTAATGAGGTCTATCGACGACAAAATATTAATTAACGCCATTGCATTATATTTCATGAAGTAAATAAATAAATTACATCCATATATACATGCATGCATGGATACAAATACATTGCGGTCTGTAAGTCTGCAGTCTGCTTGTGTGATACACCGTGTAAAAATGACTTTAAGTAATGTTTAAAGTCCGACAATGATAATTGCAAGGACTTGAAATCCCGTCCAGTCCGAATTGGAGGACTTTGAACGACTTCTCATACTCATTAATTATTTGGGAGGGGAAAAAAGGGCGTTATAATTAATACGGTTGTTAACGATGTCGAACATTTATCAGTTGAAGAAATAATAGTAAAGCAAGTTAAAATGGTGGAGGCAGCACTGTTTGCTTTTCCCGGCAAACAAGTGATTTTGWCCAGCATCACACCAAGAAGGGACGATCTGGACAGCTCAGTTAATCAAGTTAATATTGCCGTTCAAGATCGGATAAACGGAATGGCGAATGTCACCCACGTGGACAATACTAATCTGCGTGACCATTCCTACTTTTTCGACAAAAAACATTTAAACAAGAAGATTGGAGTACCGATGTTGGTAGCTAACTTAAAATATGGTATACGAGTATCTAAAGATTAAATATTCCATCGAGATTTTACAGGCGTACCAAATCACAAGAAGTACAGCAAGTTCACAATCCTTATGCGAACACTAATGCGAACACTGATAATTTCAACACCCAGATGATGCATTAGATGATTTTGTTAATAATGATTTAAGTGTAGGTTTTAAAGATCAGCTTTTTTCATTTGAAGCTCGAAATAGTAGGGATTGTAAAATTAATGTTTATGGAAGGCTTTTAGCTGAATTTTGTTGCGGAAACGATTTCATTTTATTAAATGGAAGAGTAAAAGGGGATTTGGTTGGGCAATTTACGTGCAAAACTTATAACGGAGCTAGAGTGTTGTGGATTATGCAATTGTTTCCCATAGCTTATTTCCTTCAGTTTGTTATTTCACTGTTTCTTGTGCGAATGAATTTTCACACCATTCTTTTCTGTCTTTTTCTCTAAAGGTAAATAGTCTGCCTTTAAGAGATAATAGTAATGTTTTAAATCTATCCCAGCATCCTTTATCGTTTTTATGGAATATATTGATTTAAAGGATCTTTTTTGTAACAACATTGGTT